CCCCCAACCTGTTAAGGAAACATTCACGAACATTAATTCGTAGATGGATGAACCACTTTAGTTCCTAATGTATGTGAACAGAATTTTCATCTTCTCTCATAAACAAATGCATTGCCTTGGAACCAGAGGTAGTGCAGAATGCCCTTACTGCATTTTGGCTGCTTTTTTTTTACTGAGGTGTACCACCTCATTTGCCTTTGTATTTTGCATTTTTAAAAAATAACCTTAATTTTAAAATAAATCTTTGATAAATTATTATTAAAAGAAGGTCCTGCTTGAACTGCTGTGGGGATCATGAAGTTCACACAGCCTCTTCTGTGGGTTTATGTTTAAACTGTATTTAGCCCTAAATGACTGGATTACTTTTACTTTTAGATGTGTGTTTTGGAAGTGACTATAACAAATGTTTTTGCTGAGTTGCTAATTTTCTTTCGAATCACAATTTATTTTATGAGCACATTATAGAGCTTCTGCCTTTAAGATTGGAAACCAACTCAGTGAAAAATTACCTTTCTTACCCTAGTTTAGGATTATATTGAAACCCTTTCCTTAGGGTCAAGCACATGCTTAATAAAGATGCATGAATCTAGCATACAGATCTTATGATAGTGAACATTACCATCAAGTTTCCCCCAAATTCCCATCCCGAAGTACACCTCAATTTCACACGACTAGCCCTTACTGTGTCATCAATTGCACAGTTATTTAAAAAAAAAAAAGAAAAGGTGAAGCAGTGTGGAGGTCATCAGTTTTAGAAATAAAAGTAGTCCAGGAATATGCATGTTGGTAGAACTTCAACTCGGTTATGGGACACTAAACAAACACCTGAAGTTTCCTGGCACTGCTTATAATCTAGCAATTTATTTTCAATTGCATGCAATGACTTTTGGGTTTTTTTCTTTCTTTCTTTTAAGGGTATGGCACTATGTTGAGTAAATAAATGGTATATTAAAATACCATCTGAATACAGCCTGGGTATTGAGTGACTGGAGCAATAGGAATAGTTTTGGAAGGAGTCATTCTGGTCTCTTGAGGAAATAAGCAGCGGTTTGTAACTCTTTTAAAAAATTATTTTAAAGACAAAATTAAATTTAAAAAGAAACGTGTTTAAATAACATTCAGGTTGTAATAGAAGCGGGGAAAAAAACAGCAAATGTGAGGTCCAAGATGACGCCTGAAATTATGCTGCATTAGTCTGCAATTAGAATTCCCAACTTTCTTTTTGTTCTATGTCAGAGCCTTAAGGTTATTGAAATTGCATGTTCTGTACCATATTTTGTTTAGATATTAAAAGCAGCCCTTCCAAGTTGCCTGCTGGAGTCGGCAACAGTGTCATTCTCACATCCCTCCCTTGAAGCCTGAAGCTTCTGCCAAACATAGGACATATTGGTACATAAACGAATAAAACTAATGCATATATTTATCACATGTATTATAAACTCTAGGTGCTCTAACAGTTCGTAGACAGACACTCAAAATATTAGATCCACAAACAAATCCCTGGACACCATGGAACCCCCCTGTGAGACTTTTCCACTCTGGTAATTCCTTTCCCAGTTCATTTGGTGAGAAACGCTTTTTGAACAGCATAATACAACATTTATTTTCTCCGTGAGACTGGAAGGACCTAATAACTGAGAAATTAACAGTTATCTTTTATAGAAAATGTTACTTATCCTGAGCCTCTACTGAGTCTCTAGGTGGCCGTTACAACGTTGGCATTTGGCTGCTTTCCTGCCTAGTTGTGTGGTCTCAGGCAGAGCGGATAAAGCCGTCCAGGACAGTGCCCTTGGTTTCACATATGTTTCTTGGGTAGTAACACAAGCGGGATTCTGAAACACTAATTTGTCCCTTACTGGTAAAACAAGTCAAATAAAGGATACAACCGCAGCATTCCAAGCAGGTGAAAGACAGCGAGGTCCTCAGTTTTTTTTCCCATTTCTTCCCCTTTTTTAATGCACGTGCCTCTTTGCAGTTCTGCTATTTTACAGGGTTTTTGCAAGCAGTCGCTCATTTCTGGTGTTTTCTTCCAAGCTCCCCACGGGGAGGGTCCCCTGAGAGCCTCATTCCCCGATCTGTCTCTCTTGCTGCCACATCCTTTGCTTTCCAGAACAACATGGAGACCATGGTACTCTGGAAGGGGGGAAAGTGTGACAGCTGATGAGTTTCTTCCTGGCTGGTTGGTATCTTGAGCCGACGGAGCAGCCAAAAGAGCTCAGAGCTTTGGGAAGCAGCAGAAATGATGGAATAAGGGAGGCAAGAAAGGCTGTTCCTACACTAGTAATTGGGTTTGGAGCAGGGGTGCTGTTTTGAAGAACCTGATAGTCTCTGCTTACTGCACTTCTTGAGGTGTTTTTTTGTGTGCGTGTGCAAAAGCTACATTCTTTTCTGATGATACTTAAATGTTGTGTATGAAACTCTGCTGTCCTCATATGTCCTTTCAATATCGTGCTGTATATAATGAATAAAATTCAGAGACCTGAAAAATTCTCCATACTGTGCTGCAGCTGTGTAACTTCTGTCAAGGATTCAGTCATGTGTGAGAAGGTGTAATTTGAAATTACAGATGCACGTCTTTTAACCTATACCTAAATATTCTTTGACGTTAGTTGCCTGTCTTGTTGCATATCTCTTACCTGAAGCTTCATTACACTCAGACGCATGAGGCCCGTTCAGAGGGGCAGTGTGACAGAGCCTGGGACGCTGTAATTCAGACAACAGGTGGATATAGCCTGTGCATCGTATTCTGGATGTATATTATGTAAGAGTCTGACTAAGGAACACATAGCTACGCTGGATCCCCTGAGTCAGAGTTTAGTCCTCTGGTGTTGCAGATAGCTATGTCCTATAAATCCTTGTGTAGCATGAAATCTGTTCTTCCACCAGTGTAAGTCAGGAGCAACATGCCTAATGTCAGTGAGCTGTAAGGAGGGAATGAGAACTCCTAGATAGGGTAATATGTATGGTGAAAAGAACTGGGAAAAGGTGCATGGTACACAAAATGAAATTCTGTTTGGACTTACTTTAGCCTCTGACTTTCAATCACTGTACATGAAAGCTTTTGTCACTTGGTAATTTGAAAATTGCTTTCCAGATGGTAAAGGCTAAATGCTTATCTTTTATAAGTGTGTGAGTGCACGCACACACATTCCTTTTATGGAACTGAAAATTTACTGCATACCTGATTTCTGTTGACATCTGAAATCCACAACTGTGCTTTATTCCCTCAACTTTCTCCATATAGGATGGTCCGCACACTGTATGCCATTGGCACTATATTTCTTCTGATGGGATTTCTGCTACCGGCAGCAGAAGGGAGGAAGAGGAATCGTGGCTCTCAAGGTGCTATCCCTCCTCCTGACAAAGATCAGCCCAATGATTCAGAGCAAACGCAGACCCAGCAGCAGTCGGGCTCTAGGCATCGAGAACGAGGAAAAGGCACTTCGATGCCTGCTGAAGAGGTGCTGGAGTCCAGTCAGGAGGCGTTGCACATCACTGAGCGCAAATACCTAAAGAGGGATTGGTGTAAAACTCAACCTCTCAAACAGACTATCCACGAAGAGGGCTGCAACAGTCGTACCATTATCAACAGGTTCTGCTACGGCCAGTGCAATTCCTTCTACATCCCCAGGCATGTTCGTAAAGAGGAAGGCTCCTTCCAATCTTGTTCCTTCTGCAAGCCCAAGAAATTCACCACCATGACTGTTACACTCAATTGCCCTGAGCTTCAGCCCCC